CAGGATCCTCTGTGGAGTCATGGAGGATTTTTAAGGGATTCAAGAGGGATTCCTCAAGACTCCCACAGGAGTTCTATGGGATTCTTTAATCGAGTACTATGGTTTTTGTAAGAGAGCATTCACAGCATCGAGAACAACCATAACATAGTCAAAGTTATCTGTCTGTTCGGTTCTACATTATAAAATGAGGTTATGAAAAAAAAGTTTCGAATTTTTGAAAATTTATAGTTTAGGAGTTAGTAGGAGTCTTTGAAAGTAAGATCTTTCAATGAATGATTCGGGAAAATGCAGTACCACCTATGGTATTTTTCCAAAACAACTTTTTTAGTCAGAATGACCTCCTGAAAACTGACCTTTTGGATTATATTTTGTGTTTAAAGCCACACACCCCCCTCACTCAGAAACCTATTTTCGTCCGGGAACATTCAACCTTGATGAAAATTTTCGATAATTTGTACCTTGAGGTAACTTCGTCATTTTTCGAGCTAGAAACTTCGGACTGGTTTCAAAAAATAGAGCAATGCTTTTTCTATTTCATAACGTCGTTGGATTTTTCAATTTAAGTTTAGTTTAGCAGAAATTTAAAAAGTTTCTGGAAAATAAATAAAATCTCTCTAACTTGTCGGAAACTTATTAAATTCCTCTTAAATTAAACTTCTATTGAAAAATCCAATAACGTTACGACATAGAAAAAACATTTCTCTAGTTTTTGAAACCAACCCGAAATTTCTAGCTCAAAAAATGACGGAGATATTCTGGAAGTACGAAATGCTGTAGTCGTAAAAAGAGATTCTGGGAAAAACGTAAAACAAGTTTACGAAATGAAAAATGAAGAAGGAAAGAAATATAATTCACCATAGGTTTTTGTGTATGTTTAATACAATGAGCGTATGCAACAACATGTGCTATACGTATTTTTGCATATGCAGTGATATTTCAATAAAAAACTAATTTTTTTTGAATCGGGGGCTTTCAGAAAATCAGCTAGAAAAATCATCAAAAGTCATTTTTTAACGCATAAAAACTAATTCGTTGAAAAGAGGACACTTTGGACTCATCAACCATATATAAATCTCAAAATCAATTTTCAAGAATCAATATTCTTGTTCTACGTGAAAAACTGAATCGAAAAAATATCCTTTCCATGCTATTCAAATATGAAATGATCTAAAACAGTTTAGTTTTTCATCAATAGCAAAATCCCGTTCATGTGACAAAAAGCTTCAAAGTTCTTTAGATTTGAGATGAACCCAAAAGTTTTATATCATCACACTCGCCATAATAACACAAAAAAAAGTTACGTATCAGTTTTGGAAAATATTGTTCCATTGTTGAGAAAATAATTTTTTGAAACGGATAGAAAAAGACAAGGAAATTCATTCGTATTTTGCAGTTTTTATCGTCAAATTTTATTTTTTTTTTGCTAAAGAAATGTCGTATTTGGAATCAGTATCAGAAATTGAATTGATTGATGTGTGTTTCAGAATTTTTGGACAACTTCGATTTTTTTCGACTCAGATTTTTGGCGTTTTTGAGTTTTTTGAAATTTTCGACCTTAGAAGTTTAATTCGAAACTTTAAAATACACATGTTCCTATTCAGCTCGACGAGCTCTATCCAACCCTGTATAAATATTGCATAAATAAATTTCCCTTAAACTTTGAATTTCGGGCGTCTTAGCTTATTTTAAAAAATTTGTATCTTTCAAAAATCTAAAAGAAATTTTTTGTAATCTCAGTCTTCCACATAGAATCGAATAGAGACATAAAAAGAGCACCTTAATTTTGATTATCTTATGAGCTTTTGCGATGTTATCATCATCACAAAGTCTCACTTAAAGTCTGCAATGGGCTCTCCACTGAATATTTTCTTTTGATAGATGCCCTTTTTCTTTGTAGCTCTGCATTAACATGACTATTTCGTTTTTTCTATTTCTAAGTCGAAATCCGGTTTGAAATCGTTGCCGCTAACGTCGATGCGCATAGACAACATAATCGGCAACTTTTCAAGAGTTTAGATCTCTTCAGCTTCAATAATAAGCAGCTAACAAAAATTTAGTTTGTTTTTTTATTAAAGGTGGATATAGAGTACCAAATATGCCTGTCAATGGTAAATGGCATGAATGGACATTTAATTATGATTTAATTACCGAAAATCGTGAAATGATATTGAATTTGTCAGAGTATGAAGGCAAAATTTTCGTGTATCTTGGCGATCAACCAGAAGAATCAAAAAAGCAGCAACAATAGGAAGAACAAGTATCTTCTACTGTAGAACAGCTACAGCAGTAGTCTACTACAAATAAACAACCAATAATCTAATCAGTTTTTCACCACTGGTATAAAAAAGTCTTTTATTTTAAAAATAAACGTATGCACGACATTTTCTCTTTTTTTTCTCACATAGAATACATATGATCTGCGGCTTTTTGTACATTGTTTTTGTCTTTGATAACAGGTAACAGAAATGAAAAAGAATGTATTTTTGTTAAAACAAAAAGAAAAATATAGATGATATAGATGACTTGTTAATAATAATAATAATAATCATATGTTTCTTCTTTTTTTGTGTATTTTTTTGATATTATTTTTGTGATGAGTAGTCTAAAACTAATAGTTGTCTGTTTATTTTTAGTCGCATTCATAGTTGTCTTTCTTTCTTTTTCTACTATGAAGTCAATAAATTTTGTTGTATGTTTTATTTATTCTTATAACAAAGATAAGTTTTGTACAATGTCATATGTTTTTGTTGTTTTTGTTACATTCAATAGCCTAGAAACGACGAGGAGTGTGTTTCCTCTTCACAAAAAAGAAAAAGTTATCTTTTGGCGATTTTTTGTTTTTTCGTATCTTTTGTTTTCTTCTTGAGATTCATATAAAATAGATATTAATTGTTGTAAATAAACAAAGAATATAGAGCGTACGATGTGTGTGTAATGATTGTCATTTAGGGCACTATTATTTCAATTTCAAAACTATACAAGGTCGCAACTGTAGCAGGTAAACCTATCTTCTTTTAAAGTAAAATGTGATTTTTATTTCAAAGTACACTAAAACTTTTTGAAAAAACAAGGCCTCAAAGACATAGAACTTTTTTAAATGCAGAAGTTTTTGCAAATGTGACGCAGCAGTTCTCTACTAATCCGACGTAATGATTCCTATAAAATGAACACAAGTAGGGGACGTGCAGCGATCGTTCTAAAGGCGATAGAAACAACGCTTACAAACGCAAGACGTAGATGCATTCGGAAGAGTTTCACAATTAAACCTTTAGGTGTATGCTGACAAGCTTTTTACTATAACGGATGTACCATAAATAATGTCGGTTTCGATATTTTTGCTCTAACTTCTGTCCCTTAGGTTTCCCCAAGCAAATTCTTTTTTTAATAGAACCACCGTAAAATTCTCTACGAAACCATACTTAAATTTTAATTTCAGAACTTCAATCAAGAAACTAAGCAAATTATACGAAATGCGAAAAAAATGAGGCCTTTATAAATTTGATATTTTTTTCGACTTAAACTTTTTCTTCGTCCTTTTCATACTTTTTCTTCTTCTATTATTTTCCGTAAAAAAAAGTGTAGCAGAAGTGACAGTTCAGCTTGTATTTGATACTTTCAAATGTGATCTTTCTCGTGGTAAGGAAAAAAATTCTTTTAGAGCAGGTGGTGCGAGGGTGAGGCGAGAATGAGGTTTTAAAAAATACGTCAGAGATTGACAACTTCTCGTCTCCAACAATGCGCTCCAGCAACAAACTGAAAACATGATCGAAGTTTTGATTTTGCAGTTAGGTAGAGAAGAACAATCATTTCTGATCAAAACAAAACAAACCGGAAGGAAAAAGGTTTTGTTTAGATGGAGTTATGGGATTTTTACTGAAAGCACTACTTTACCCAAAATTAAAAAAATTAATGAAAAAATGCATGACAACCAACAGAAAAACTATTATTTCGTTGTGACTTTTGATGTGAAAAAATGTGAAGTGTAGCTAAAAGATAGAGCATAGTCAGGGCTACAAAATGGCTAATTCAGTTTTTCTTACTTTCAAAATGTTACCACGAGAAATCGTTTTTGAGTTTACAAAGGTCTCCCTTTTTTCGCCTTTCGTATAATTTGCTTAGCTTTCGTGATTGAAGTACTGACATTAGAGTTTAGGTATGATTTTGTACAGAATTTTGCGGCGGTTAAAAAGAATTTGCTCTGGGGACCTAATGAACAGAAGTTAGAGCAAAAATACCGAGACCGACATTATTTATGGTATACCCGTTATGGCTAACAGCTATGAACTAGTATTAAAAATCGATTCAAAAGTACTTCAGAATATCAACATGTACTTTGTTTTATCTTCTTAATCTTATTCTTGGCTTGAAATTAGTAAAAAAATTCTCTTGTTCCTAAGTTTTCTAAAAATTTCTCTCAAACACCGAAATACTTTCTCTTGCTTTTTAGAGTTTTTAATGAGTTTGATGATGTAATGCAGACAAAATGAAGTACATGTTTATATTCCGAACCGCTTTTGCTGAGTTATACATTTTTAGCTTTCGGTGTGAATAGGCAAAAATAAATTATTTCATCTAGTATCGGTTTTCACTAGCTTTTGAATTTTATTCTGCAAAGAAACATTGTCATGAAAACCTCTTCAATACCTTTTGAGGTTTGTAGACCAAAACAGTGAGCAGTCATAGGACTTGGCGGAAAATGCCCGTAGCTATCGGACCATGGTAAATGAAGTTCTTTAATATTTCAAAATTTTCCGTTATGCACGAGATTTTTAGAGATCGTCTCAAAAAACAATTTTTGAAAACTTTTCGAAAAGCATGGCATGAATTTTTTGAAAAATTACCTTTCCACACCTTTTGAGATGCCTACATTGCCGCAGGAATGCTTTATTATTAAAAAGCGATAATGAATTTTTGCACTGGAAATTTGTTAATCTCTGCGTTATGCCTGAATTGCTCTTTCATACTTTCGTAAAATTTTGTATTAAAATTGTTCTTCAGACAATAATTTAAAGTGCAGATCTCTGAAGGGACAGAATTGACCAAGATGGACTTTTTCTGTTGCCATATCATTTCCTTGAATATGTATAAAATGTCTTTTCTTTTTGTCATGTGCAGTTGTTACACAGATCTTTTTCTTAATAGATTTATATATAATTCGATGATGTGTGTAACGATTTTCTTTTCCTGTGCTTCTGTGTGTAGGTAGAGACATAAAAACTGATAAATATACATAATGTACAAGAATTCTTTTTTTTCAACTGTTATTTATTACTACTATTACAAATATTATATATAGTGTAGTTTTGTTGCTCTGCGTACACGGTGGTTAAACAAAAAATACTACATAGATATTCACCGAGAAATAATGGCAAATTATGGTCCTCGCTATGGTCTATTAGCTGAAAGCGAAGCAAAAGTAAGTAAGATCAATTATCTGAAAAATCAATCAGAACGATGGAGCCTTAATGTATGAGAAAAAAAGACATTTTATGCAAATACCATTAAGTCTAAAAAGCTATAAAAGCAAAGAACAGTATTTTAAACCAGTTATCAACTTGATTTATCAGTATATAGAAGCAAATCATATTTTAAAGCTTTTCCCAGCAGCAGCAATCCTACAGTTTGTGAGCAGCGTCAAACTTTATTTTGAACAGCAGGGCGCTTTGATATTTTATTGTAGTCTTTGAAAATACTCATGTGGCTAGTGAAGTAATTTACAGCTTCGAGCTGATATGTTCAGTAACATTTCTCTGGAAAATTCATCCAATGAAATTTTACATTAGTAATTTAAGAATCTTCTAATTTCCTCCATACAGAAACAAAAGTTTTAAATAAGAAGCAGGACTTTATATGGAGGAAAATGCAGTTTTTCCTACTCTGTCCTCATATATCACATGGACTTATGTGTAGCATTAGAGAAATTTTACAATTCGTATCCAATGGCATCTCATAGGTAAATTCTGAATATAGTCGACGTCGGGATTTTTCATGTCAGAAAAGCGTGTGATCTTTCGCTCAGTTATAGACTCCATGGGCTTGGTAGCTGTACCACTAAGAACAGAGGTGTAGGGATGAAACATATGTAGCGTTGCCGTCGGACTTAGATTTAGACGGTCTAACGATTGGGTGTAGTAGATTTTTCTTGTACTTTGACATTTTTCATTCTTATACCTTGGATGTAATTGTTTAGGACAGTTAGTTTTAGCTCTCTTAACAGCGCCTATGTTGTCTTGTTCCAAATTGATTCTTGAAAAGAAAAACGAAAGTGAGAGAAATCATTTCTCCTGTTTCTGGGTGTATAAATCTAGTAAATTGGCTGTCAGTCATCAGGTTCGATCCTTTTTGCTCGACAATATGGGGCATTTAGAGGAGAGTTAGCGTGATAAACATTTCAGTCGTGTCAGAATTTCAGACAAATCTGTCATTATCGAAATTCATCCAGATGCGAGCCTCGGCTAGTAGAAAGACATAATGGACCGTAGATGAAGGATTCGAGATACAAAAGTCAAAGATGAATATTTTTTATTGTAAAATAACATACGCACAATGGATATCCTGTAGTACATTTAGCCAAAAATCGAAAGTACACTTTTCCAAAATTCAAATAGTGTCACGTATAGTTCAACTAACGGGCTACCGAATCGGGCTGTCTGTTTACTTATTACTCGGTGTTACTTTACCAAGTAAAGTAACAAAAATTTGTTACTTGTTACTAGTAATTAGTAACAACAGATGCTAGTCTGTTACTTTGTTACTAGTAACAAGTAACGAAGTTGTTACTTGTTGTTGTTACTTGTTTCTAGTAACAAAGTTGTTAAGTTGTTACTTTGTTACTTTTGGAAAAGTAGCAAAAAAACACTTTTTTTTTTGTTTGCTCATAAAAGCTTTTTTGAAAAAGGTTTTATGAAGGTGAGGGTGAAATAGCTGAATTTCATTAGATGTCTTATAAGTTATGACTCTTCCCTTAGCAGTGACGTATACCTAACAAATATTTCACGTTTATCAGACGTTCCACCACGTTTTGGCAAGTATTTTCCCTTCACCCTCACAAACCTTACTTAAGGAGTCGACTAGCAGAAATATCTGCTAAAAGATTGTTCCTGATTACTTTACCAAAAGTAACAACTGCGTTACTTGTTACTAGTAACAAAGTAACAGACTAGCATCTGTTGTTACTAGTAAAGTAATGGTAAACACTATTATCAGTTGTGAATGCGCAAAAGTGTGCATATATATTTAACACGAGAT